TTGTGGGCACTTCCTCTGCCCTGTGATTTAAAGTTCTGATGACTCCCAGTTTGTGTTGAAGTGGATGGTGTGAGTCAAAAAGCAGGTATTGGTCCGTGTGTGTAGGTTTCCGATATACTTCTACCTTCAGGCTTCTGTCCCCTCCCAAGTGGACTGCACAATCCAGAAAGGCCAGACAGTCATCTCTGGCATCCTCATGAGTGAATTGTTGTCATCCACAGAGTTGATATGTTTGGTGAAAGCCTCTACCTCATGGGTCCTGATTTTAACCCATGTGTCATCCACGTAGCAGAACCAGTGGCTGGGAGTGGTGCCAGTGAAGGAAGACAGGGCTTTCTCCTCAATTTGTTCCACTCAGACAGTGTGCTGTTCACAAGCAGCATCAGCTGAGGTGAGCCAGGCCTCACAGCAAGAGATCTCAGAAATGCTACAATCAAGAGTTGGTTTGCATGTGGCTGGAAATGGTCACAGAACAAGCTGCGTGACGCAGCAGGACAATGACCCTAAACATCGAAGTAAATCTACTACAGAATGGCTTCAGAGACACAGAGTCCACCAGCTGGAGCGGCCCAGGCAGAGCCCAGAGCTCAGCCCAACAGAGACGCTGTGGAATGACCTGAAGACGTTCACACCAGACCAGAGAACATGTCTGAGCTGAAGCAGCTCTGTCAGGAAACTGGTCCAAAACTGCTCCTGAACGTGGTGCAGATCTGATCCACAGCTACAGGAAGTGCTGGCTGGAGGTCGTTGCTGCCAAAGGTGGTTCAACCAGTTATTAAAACACTGTTGTCATGACTTTGTCCACCATCACTGGTTAATATAATACAGACATGAAGGATCAGGACTGGTTGTTTTATCATCTTAGAAATACTGTTGGTTGATATTTGTGACCTGTTTATGCAGAAAACCAGGAAATTGAAAACAGTGCTGTTACTTTTTCTTAGCTCTACTTGATTAACATTACATTGGCTGTCTCTCAAGTGTGTGAAGCGTGTTATGAACAAAATGTATTATTGCACTTTGAGGCCCCCCCCGCTCCAGTCCATTAGGTCTCTTTGTTTACATGTCTCATTAGCTCGTGTGCTGACGTGGTGTTTAATAATTCTCCTGTTATTTGTTTAGCTGTTTTCATTTTTATTCAAGCATTTATCATAATTTACCTCATTTATCTGAACAATGTTGTGCTTTTCAAGTTTTAAATGATCTTTACCCATTTGTAATGTTAATGAGTTAATTAGCATCTTAAAAGAACCAGTTTCTGGCTTTGAACACACAGTGAGTCAGAAGCAAAGGTTTCCCAGACGCTAAATGTATAATTAATCATGCATCAGTGTGAAATTTAACGGCTGAGCATCACTTCACAGGTGGGGGGCCTCGCGAATCTCGCCTCTTCACACTTGTGTCATTAGAAATAAATAGAGTCATGTGCCGAGGCTGAAAACCATGTTTCTGGTCGAGAGCCGGTCGTGGCTGCTGTTGCTGTTTGAAACCTGGAATATTGTGTTAACCATAAACAACCAGATTATAAATGTGTCTACAATGGACCGTCCTCGTTGATACTATGTGGCCGCGTCTCTAAAGGTTTCTCTTTATATTGTGTTAACCATAAAAATCTTTGGCACACAATCAACATTTCAGATTTTATATCTTTTTAACACCGGCCGCTAACAACAACAACAACAGTGGTTTGTCCACGTACCAACAGCCAGGTTGGCGATGAAGAAGTTGGTGACGGTGCGAAGCGTCTTGAAGCGGTAGATGACATAAATGACCAGAGAATTACCCAGAACCCCCAGCACGATGATGGTGCTGTAGGCCAGGATCAACACCACCTGTGAACAAACAACAGCTGTAAACATCTGTCAGAGGCCGTTATCAGCCCCCCAAGTGATTATTACACCTGTCCTGTTTGTTTTACTGTATTTGTTAACAAACATGATGAGCTGATAAGACAAGACAAATTTAAAAACAGGAAACTCCTGTGAATCACCATCAAATCTTTTCTCACATAAAGAGCGAACGTTAACATAGTAACAAATTTCATGATAATATTACCAATATCGACTGTTTTACCATTTGAACTAGCAGACTTCCCAGCATGCACTGTGAGAGAATTCAAACTTGTGGATCATAACCACGACGTTTAATGTTACATTAAAACTCCTTAGGGTTTGTTAGAAACAACCACAATGACAGAAGGAGTCGGCCTCTACCTGCACACTGAGCAGTTTAATGGAGCCGTCTGGGAGTCCTCCCCCTAACACCACCGTGGGCTGAGCCGGGGGGACGACGCCAACGTTTGGCTTATAGTCATGGAAACTGAGGTTGCCGGGGTTATCGCCAGGCGAGGGCAGGAGCTGAAACTCGTCCCGTGTGGCGTTGGCTGAACTGTCGACCTCCATGTCCGATCATATGTGTTCACACGGCAACGTCATTTCACAGCCACACACGATGAGTCTCACACAGCCTGAAGGACGACAACGACACACACACACACACACAGGTAAATAACAGGCGACTGAGGAGAGTGAGAGGGCTGCAGGTTGAACTCCAGGACACAGTGTTAGCAGCCTGTTTCCACAGCCGGCTGATAAGGAGCAACGTTTTCATTCCGTTGTCTTTTGCTCCATGTGATGAAGTCCAGTGTTCACCAATCATTAGAGTACTTAGTTGGACTTGTTTCAGAAGTGCCTGAGGCTTTATGTTCATGGACACAACGTGCAGATTACTGGTTCTAATCAGGGCTAAAGCAGGAAACCTTGAGCAGGCCAATTACTCTCAAAGCCCAGTTTACAGCAGTCTTCACCCTCCAGACTCATGCAGGACAGTATGAAGGGTTTTTAAAATGTCTAACAGTTTCACTCAGAACTCAGCAGCAACTTCATTTTTACAGTCGACACACTAACAGCAGACGCACCACCTGTTCCTGGCTGTCAGGTGAAACCACCCACTGAGATTTCAAGCACATCACTGTGCACGTCATGTTTGTTTCAGCTTCATGAGAGAAGCAGAAATGTGCTCACAGATTAAAAAGCCTTTGTCAAAGTGCAGTGAGTGACACAGCGCCCCCTGTAGCCCGAGTGATGCAGAGCAGCAGGTGGAGGCTGTGCAGCTCCCGGTGGTGTCACAACCTCAGGCTGCAAATACTCACAGAAAAAAGCACCTTGTGAGCTCCGTTTGACTCGGACCATGTGGCCGGAGACACAGTTCTGGTGTCTCAGCTGCCAAAACCTCTCCTGTATGTAACAGAACGATAAATACCCAGGCTGCTCGATGCTCATGCTCTGTGTACCTGTGCCGTTTAACCTTGTGTTTCACTTCTCTCCCAGTTGAGTGGTGTCGTACAAAACCTGCCCGTTACTTCTTTCCTTTGTCACTCGCTCAGTATGTGACCAACATCCTGGTGCTGTTGTGTGATCTGCCTAATACTGATTAATTCACTGATTTCCACAACACTGTACTTTGTTTCTTTTAATCTGTGACATTTAGAAGAAACAACATAAATAAAAAGTAAACTTTCAATAATTTTATACAAACAAATAAAAAATAAATTAGTTTCAGGGCCTGTGTGATAGTTCTCATTGATCACCAAGGCACAGTGCATTTAAAAAGACAGGAGTTCAGTGTGGAGGCCACCAGCGCTTTGCTGAGTTATGAGGACACCTCCTGTACCACTTTTAGGAATATATATAAGAAAACATTTGAGATGTATTTGTCTGACAGAGCAAACTTGTTCCACTCAAAGTAAAAGGCACCACCAACAACAGACCAGGAAGAGAAGCAAGTCTCAGAGGTGTCTGCATGAAACACAGTGCAGACAGAAGCCAAGGTTACATAGCCCTCCTGACCTGGCCTCTGCCGGCCAACAAAGTTACACGGCAGAGCTGTGAACGTGACGTGAGCAGCTGAGACGCATCATGGCAGGAATCCTATTCCACACTGAAGCTTTTTAAATAGCTGAACTTTCCTCATTTGTCCTCTGACGCTGGTGTTTCACAGTCCGACTGCTGCAGACAAGTAGCATGTCCCTATGGAGCCAGTGAATTATCTGTGGGCTGCAGCCTGAGCCTCGCTTATCTGTTTATTTGTCCACTTGTTTGTCGGTAAATTCTCATTATTAAAAGTCTGCTGTGCTAGCCATGAGCGGTTTCTGTCTGATTACTCTGATACTGAACAGATCTGGAGGCGAGTGTCTCTGCTAAAGTCCTGTACTTAAGTTCAGTTTTGAGGTATCTGTACTTTGAGTACTTCCATGTCCTGCTCCTTCATCCTGTGATTCCATGTCAGAGACAAACCGTGTACTTTTTACTACACTACATGTACCTGATACCTTCAGGTCCAGAACCAGATGAATCAAACCAAACCCAGTAGAACCATCAGACTCTATTGATCCCAGTAGGAAATCCACCAGCTACCCAGCAGGATGGAAAGTACTTCCCAGTATAAGTATATAAGGTAGTTACCATCAGCTCCACCTTTACCAGCTGCAGCATTAAAGTGATGGACACAGTAATTAGTCACTATGATCCAGTATCAGAGACGTTACTGGGACACGGGCCGTTCTGCTGGACGAGTACTGGTACTGCTGGTACTTCTAGAATGTTTTGAAGCCAATACTTTAGTTTGCTTTAATTTCAGTGAAGTAAAATTTTGAACGCAGGACTTGTACTTGTAACAGAGTATTTCCTAATGTGGTATTTCTACTTTCAGTTCAGTACAGGAGCTTTGGTCCTTTGGTTTCGTACGCATCACGTCTCCCACAGTTAAAAACCTCTGCTGTTATGTGATGAAGCCTGGAGATAAACATGAGGACACGTTGGGGTCAGTGGCTAATTAACCGTCCAGCCAACCTGCTAATTGTGCGGTAAATCAGTTGTCACATTAACCGGCTTACTGACTCTGAGCTGTTACACTTAAAGAGGGAGGCTCGTCAGCACAGGCGTCGTGTTCCTGGAGGTTAACACCGGATCTCGTTTAAAGGGCGCAAGTGTCTTTAAACACATGGGTTTAACAAGGACGATTAATTTTAAGGATCTCTGTAATTTACTGCATCGGTTCAGGGTTGTGAAAAAGTCATTCAAGCACCGTTTAACCACACTGGTCAACAGGGAAACACAACGGCAGACTAGACAGATGCAACAGTCTCCTGATCGAAAGCAAATGAAAACACTAAACCCAACAAAAGTTATTTCAGCTTTGGTTACTTCAACCTTCAAGGCCGCATCATGTTCGTTCACCAACCACCTGGTGCTCAGATGTGCCCTTCATCACCTTTATCACATGCTACATCGAGAACCACATGAAACACTGGGACTCTCGTTCTGCTTTCACTGCGGCAGGGGAAACCTCGGCTGCACCTCTGATGTCAGAGGTGACTGTTAATCTTCAGGGGAACTCAGCTGCTCCACCACATACCCAACGAGGAAATTACTGACTTTGATCATAACAGTGGACTGATGATCTGATCCAGCTCACGTTTACATCACAGGGATTAACCAGAGCAGTAGGTTGGAATGTCAGGAAAGTCTGTCTCGAGGCTGCAAGGTGTGCTCACAGGTGTAATGTCGAAGAACCGCTTGGTTTTCTACAGTTAGTGGCCCTTTTCTCTAAGATGTAAGCAACACTCTGTGCTGCCTACACGTCCCCAGCTCTCAGTGCTGGACAGCTGCAGGACGCAGCGGCCTGCAGTGCTTTAGTACAGGAAGTCATGCTGCACCACGCTGGGACAGCAGTCATTTACTTTCACCGCTGAGTGGGAAATGAAACTACCTGAGCCAAACAAAATATCGAGACCACGGTCACATTTTGGATGGTTTTTTACTTTACATATCCAGGGAACAAAGATGTTTCTAGTGTTACCTCCTGATTAAAGGGTCGTGACCTCAAACGTTCTTCCATCCACAAATAACAGGCCATGTTCACATGAATCTAAATACGTTGAATCTGTAAACCACAATAAAACACAATCTCTTTTATATTAAAATGTTATTAAGCAGGCTCTCTGTGAAACAAGTCCAACAAACTTAGTCCAAAGCAGTTCAGTTCTCTCACCAGTGACTTGTCTTTGTCTATTTCTGTGCACCACTGACAGTTTTGTAACATTTGAATAAAACATTTCTGGCAACTGTGGGTTGTTCACTTGTGTCTCCAGCTTTGCCAAGCAAATGTAAAAAAACAGCACACACCCACACAGACATGAACCAGCAGAGTAGCTGAGTTTTAAACTGTAAACTCTGTAAATTCCTACTTTAGCCCTGATTAGAACCACACACGGACCAATACCTGTAACTATTACACAAAAGGTTTATCCAAACTAAAATTTACTGAAGATATAAAACCAGATTTTTAATAACAATCAGAAAATCAGTGTTTCTCTCATAATTAGTTTTGGGTTCTAGACATATGAAGAAAACTTTATGATGCTTAACCACCAGCCTGCAGCTGAGGATCATGGGATGTCACTCGCTTTGCAGGCGTTTGGTCATAAATCCAGGTACTGTCTAAAACCACTGCAATAAAAATCATCCTCGTAGTTTGTCGTCCTGTAAAGAACCGGTATGTTACTAAAAACAGATGCGTCCTCTGACTTACCACGGTACTCGAAGTCGTACTGAGTCCTGGTAAAACCCTGTGTCGATGCGTGTGCCCGTCACCTGGACGACCTCTGATCCCTCAGCACAGTAAACCTGCCTCACGACACTAAACATGACAACTCCCCCAACATCTGCTCTGAATTGGACGCTAGTGAATCCTGTTTTTCATGGATACAGCACCGAGTCCCTGGGCTTCACTTCTGAACTGTGTTTAGTGAGAGAACCGACTCCAAATCTGAACCAAAACTTGTATTTGATGTAGTGACCAAGATAAACAATCACATATGACCCTTCTTAACCCTTTGGCACATTAAGTATTCAGACAAATCAGACAGCAGAGAGAATAAAGAGATGAAATATTTAAGACTCTGAGGAGCTCGTTCTCCGAGGCCAGATGAGCGGCTGTGTACTTCACCAACATGGTGACGCCGCAGCGGCTTCTAATCAAGTTCCTGTCAGTCAAACTGATGGAGTCTGTGGATCAGTCAAAACTGGGACCAGAGTGAATCTCACCATCTCTGCATGAACAGCTTTTGAGCCTGTTTTAGCTCAAAGTTTCAGACTCAGTTTGCCAGAAGAAGCCACTGTCCACCACCCGCCGACAGGCTGCTGAACATACGGAGCATTTAGCAGCTAGACCCATGTCTCCTTCAGGAGGCCAAAGGCCACCCCCCCACACACAGATGGGGGCTTTTTCTTTCCTTTGTTTAAATTAGACACATAAATAATGTTTGTCTTTTCATAATAGTGGACTCTGGGCAGACTGGAGAGGGTGAATTAGGTCAGAGGACCAGAACATCGAGCTCCTTCTGCTCCAGTTAATCAGAGCGCAGCAGCAAAATCAAACCTGGCAAACAGAGGAAACTGACAAGAG